GAGGAGTGAGGGGTAGCCCGGAGCCGCCCCTCGACACAGGGGACACAGGAAGGACCAGGCCCTGGAGGAAGGGGAGGGAGGGACCGGGGAAGACCAGAGACAAGGACACGGGAAGCCATGCCTCGGAGACGAGGCAGAGAGGGGTGACCAAGACGGTGGTGCCACAGGAGAGTCTCGTGAGACAGGAGGCGACACGAGCAGGGGGCAGACTAAGGACCAGACCTGGACGCCGCAGCAAACACCTGACCCGACGCAGCTACCTGGCCAGACGCAGGGACAGGAGGGGACCCAGTGGTCAGGGTGTAGAGACTCGACCCCGGCCGACGCGAAAACGTGGCCAGGTGCCGGCCCGTGCGGGCATCCGAGCAGTGGGTCACCCGGTGACTCGCAGATGTAAACTGGTGAACCCCCGCATCCTGCAAGTCAGCACCACTCACCAAGTTCGTCGAGAACGAGGGGAGGTAAAGATCAGACAAGGTGCTAGAGGGGGCAGCCGGACACGGGAGGACAGTGGAGAAGTGAGAGAGGACAGGACCCCCAGAGGGGTCTGCCAGGGAGACTGCAACCGGCCGGCCAAGCGGCGTGAGTGTGGTGCGGTCTCGAAAGAAGGAGCGAGAAGCCCCTGAGTCAAGTGTGAAGGTGAGGGAGGCTGAAGCCGACGCGGTACCTGAGAGCGCAGCCTCACCAGCACCTGCGGGCGCAGACGCGCTCGCACCTAGAGTAGCAGCCTCATTGGCACCTAGCGAAGCAGCACCAATGCCCGGGTCGGGCGGGAAACACCGGTAACAGTCACCCTCATCACTAATAGTCACAGCATACATGGCAGCAAGGATAGCATCAAAGTCAAGATCATAGATAGCTACACCTGCCCTAGACAGCTCTCGCCAGCGGGGGATCTCACTAGCTTCCGGGAACTGCTGACGCCAAGCGTCCGTCAGGCGGCCAAAGCAGCGCTGGGTGGGGTGAGCACCCCCACACTGCTCACCCGCGCGTTCGCCGGAGCGAAGGACGTAGGTGCACGGACCAAAACCCCCACCACGCTGACGCTGCGTGTACCACTCACGGAGCTGCTGAGGAGGGGGGATGTCCCGAGAACGCTGCTGCTGCTGCTGCTGCTGGCGCTGACCACCACCGGAGCCGCTCCGCTACGAAGCACCACCCCGACCAGCTCCACCTCCTCCGCCACCGCCGCCTCCACCTCCACCACCACCGCCGCCTCCGCTCCCACCGCTACCGCCTCCGCCGCCTCCGCCTCCGCTGCTGCCACCACCACCTCCACCCCCGCCACCACTCCCACCGCCACCCCCACTCCCTCCACCGCCTCCACCGCCACCTCCACCACCCCCGCTAGCTCCACCCGCGCCCTTGCCCCCCTTGCCCTTGCCAGAGCGGCGTCTCCCGCTAGGGGCAGACGCCGCACCGACCGACTCAAGACCAACGAGGTCGGCTGCAGCAGCAGAGGCGACAGAGGGCAACAGGGGGGAAGGGGAACACCCCTCAAAGATGGGGGTGCGAGGGTCACCACGAGAGGCTCCTACAGCGACTATGCTCTTCTCCGCTGCTAGGAGGGCCTTCTCTAGGAGGCCAACAGTGAGAGTGGTTGGACAGACTGAGAGGAAGTGGTCCCTGACTACGCGAAGGGAGTCAGGGAGGCGGGTGACTATATAATAGAGAGTGATGTAAAAGGGGGGGGTTCTTGGCGCAGAACTCAGCAGGAAGCGCGGTGCGGTAGCGAGTGTTACTAGTGCGGAGGTGCGTAGTGAGGTGAGCGACTGTGGGAAAGGCAGCAAGGTCAGGGAAGAGGTACGGTAGCATGAGGCGGCTCAGTGCAGCAGTGGCAGGGGAAGAGTAGCGCGCAACTACAGCGTCGTACAAGGTCTGAGCACTCTTGTACTGACTAAAGTGCGCACGCTCAGTGGTAGGCAGGTGGCGACGCACAGCAAGACGTGCAGCAGCATCGCGCGTGGCCCACTGGGAGCGAACAGTAGGGTCAGCATCAGCAGCAGGGGCAGGAGAGGGGCCAGAGGTGAGGTCAAAGAGGGAGAGACCGTCTGCCCTATCGCACTATAGGAAAAGCTGCAGGTCATCTACCCAAACTTCAAAGTCAATGGCTCAACCCTCAGCGTCAAAAGCGAGAACACTGGAGATAGCCATGACAGTAGTAGACTAGCAGTACCAACTGTAGGACAGGGGCAGTGCAGTGACAGAAGCGCTGCTCTCACCGGACAGGGCGGGTCGGGCAGCTCAGCAGTACAGCAACACGGCAACACGGCTGCTCGGAAGGCTCAGCAGCAACTGCGGCTCCGTGGTGCCAGCGGCTCGGCTCCTCAGGCGGCTCGGGCGGCTCAGGCGGCTCGGACGTCTTGGGCGGCTCGGGCGGCTCAGGAGAGTCGGGCGGCTCGGGCGGCTGGGGCAGCTTGGGAAGGTCGGACGGCTCGGGCGGCTCGGGCGGTTCGGGCGGCTCGGGCGGCGCTGGCGGTGTAGGGCGGCAGGGCCGCTGGTGCGAGGGGCGGCGGGGCCGCTGAGAAGGGCGGCGGGGCCGCAGTTGAAGGGCGGCGGGGCCGCTGAGTAGGGCGGCGGGGCCGCTGAGAAGGGCGGTGGAGCCGCTGCGGAAGGGCGGCGGGGCCGCTGAGTAGGGCGGCGGGGCCGCAGGAGAAGGGCGGCGGGGCCGCTGATTAGGGCGGCGGGGCCGCTGAGCAGGGCGGCGGGGCCGCTGAGTAGAGCGGCGGGGCCGCTGAGTAGAAGGGCGGCGGGGCCGCTGAGTAGGGCGGCGGGGCCGCAGCGAGGGAGGCAGCGGGGCCGCAGCGAAGGGCGGCGGGGCCGTTGAGATGGGTGGCGGGGCCGTAATGTGGGGCGACGGGGCCGCCGAGAAGGGCGGGGCCGCAGCGACGGGCGGCGGGGCCGCGGAGACGGGCGGCGGGGCCGCAATGCGGGGCGACGGGGCCGCTGAGAAGGGCGGGGCTGCAGCGACGGGCGGTGGGGCCGCTAAGTAGGGCGGGGCCCGCTGAGAAGGGCGGCGGGGCCGCTGAGACGGGCGGCGGGGCCGCACTAAAGGGCGGCGGGGCCGAATCGACGGGCGGCGGGGCCGCTAGGGGAAGGGGCCGCTAGGGCAATAGGGCCGCTAGGGCGTAGGGGCCGCTAGGGCGGCTCGGCGAGGTGAGAGCCTGGAGCGCGACTCGGGCGGAGCGCGCTTCGGGCAGGAGAGAAAAAAAATGAAACTCGATGTGGTGGGCCCTAGGCACAGTTCCCAAGGGAAGAACCTGCTCGATACCATGAGGAAAGTAGAACGAGAATGAGTTGACTAAGGAATGGGAGTGATACATATATGCAACCCTAGAAATGTGTACCCCATATAGACTACCCCACTATAGCCTACACAATATTATAATTTGACACCACCATCCAGACACCCTCCCTGGTTAGTGTTTGCATTTAAAACAGCGTATCTTCCTCTAACCGTTAGTGGTGCCGTGCCTTAACTGGACTCTTTTTTGTGATAACCGATGTCCCACACCCTACCCTACCCTCACCCTCAGGTGTCGACTGGGGCAAAGCCGCCAAGGAGCTCACCAGCTTCACCACCATCCTCTCCACTCACCACGAAGACCTGTCCTTCCACGACAGCCTGTCGTAGATGCTCTCAACGCCGGATTGGGAGTCAGCCTATCCGAACCTCGGCCGCCTGTGGATAGCTGTTGCTGTGCTACCGCTCAGCACTGTTGAGTGTGAGCGCGGCTTCAGCCTCCAGAACATCATCAAAAGTTGGGTGCGCGGCAGCTTGTGCGACACGACACTGGGCGACCTGATGACGGTGTCTCTTCTGGATTACGAGCTGAACACAGAGGAGCTGGTGGATAGGTGGAATGCTAGCAAGAAGAGGCGGCCGGCTCGTGAGGTGGTTATGGCTGAAGGATCACGCTCGGTGAAGCGACGGCGGTCCCATCACCTGAAGAAACGCGCTGCAGCATCAGCAGCAGCAGCAGAAGCAGCTACATGCGCACGGAAAGAGGCAGAAGAGGCTGCAACAAGGGAGAGAGAGAGGGCTGCAGAAGAAGCTGCATGGGAACTGCCTACCTGGAGGAAGGGCAAACCCAGAGCCACAATTGTTGAAACCTCTGAGAGTGGCAGTGGTAGTGATGACAGTGGCAGTGGTAGTGATGACAGTGAAAGCAGTAATGCTAGTGATTCCTCTTAGAATTGAATAGGATGTCGGTAGATTCTTTTAAGTCTAGGAACTAGGTAGGCTAGGAAATTTGCTAGCTACCGTATAAAATTTACTACGGTATCTAATTCCGTCTGACGGCTCTGACAAGTGTTTTTGATTCGTCTGAAACGTAAGACTAGGCTAAAACTTTCATCTGAACATCAGACAAGGCTCCAGGACCCGGTCTTAACGTCAGACGGGCCCTGGCACTAAAGTAAGCCCAGACAACGAGTGCTGTTTTCAGTCAGGGAAGGGAATGCTATGCAGTGCGGTTTGCAGCACTAAAAGGCAGGTAGGGTAGAAGAACCTGGATGTAGGAGTGGAGAGCTACCGGTATTCAGTCATACGGGACAGGTTTAACCGTGAGGAAGTTGAATGTAAGGCTCCTACTGTTTATATAACAAAAATCATGACCCATCTTTTAAGGGTGTCTAAAGGCCTCAATATCCTACACCGAAGTCAATGTACCTTGCACTTGACGTGCCTTGAAAAAAAAACAGCTCCACAACTGCACAATAGCAGGTCACCAATACCGTATGTAGCACGTTTAGGACCATGTAGTTTAGTCGGCGTCTCTGGTCTCTTGTATCGCACCGGAAGCACCTAAAAACGAATGCTTCCAATTCCAACCCTATTTCCCCACGCACAAAATTACTCAGGGTTCTGGACTTCGGGTTTTCCCTTTCCACCTTCGGGTTTCCCGTTGCTCCGCTTAGAAACAACTGACAGTCGGATTAGTCGTTTTCCACGATTTTTTCGCGAGCAAGTAACCGTAATCTCAATACTTGTTGCGACTATGGCCTTTTCTCCCGCTGCGACCCGTTCCGTAGGGAGGGGCAAACAGTGGCCGAAGAGAGGCGGAGCAGGCGGTTCGCCATACGCGCGGGGAGGGGGGGGAACAGCGGACGAGGGGCGCCGCGAAGGGGAGGAAATTGGCGAAAGGGGTGGTAGTGGGGAGGGGGGGTTGCCGAATAGTGGGCGGAAGGAGGAAGCTGCGGATGGCGCGCGGACGGATCCGGGAACGGAAGGGGGGCGGAAGGAGGCAGCGGGGTGGGAAGCGGGGCGGAGTGACGTGGATCGGAACACGGTTTTCGTGCGCAACGTCTCGTTTAAAGCCACACAGAGCGATGTGGGTGCCTTTCCCAGTGCCGAATGTATCTTTTAGCGCGGACGAATTCCCTCGAGCGCTTCTCGCAGAGGACGGGGCTTTAAGGTTTTATCTCTGCGCATACGCGTGCGTCTCTGTTTTTCGTATTTTCACGAGCCGCTTGACCTTTTGCAAAGCTATTATAATGTGCAGCGGCAAGAGCACGTTAAGTCGCTAAACCCTGAAACTTCCTGTAAAAGGGTTTTTCTGGGCAGTGGGTGCCATCCGAAAGTGCTTCCTAGTGGCACAGCGATTATCAATACTGAGTGCATTGCCCTCCCCTCCACTCCAAGTGACCTCCTCACCTCACGTCCCTCTTGGCCCCCAAATCCCTCACACCCACCCCCCTCCCCTTCCCTCCTTGCAGCTAGAGTTTTATTTCTCACATGTGGGTGCAATCTGAAAGTGCTTCCTAGTGGCACAGAGATATTGAGTGCATTTCACTCCACTCCGCTCCTAGTAACCTCCTCACCTCGCGTCCCTCTCCCGCCCCATCCCTCCCACCCCCCTCCCCCTCCCTTGCAGCTGGAAGATTTGTTCTCTACGGTGGGCCCTATCCGAAAGTGCTTCCTTGTGGCACAGACAGCCGCAGCACTGAATGTCTTATCCCAGCCTTCTTCCTCCTCCGTCTCATCAAACCCCCCTCCACACCCATTCCCCTCCTCCCCGCAGCTCGAGGGTTTTTTCTCGACGGTGGGCCCTATCCGAAAGTGCTTCCTTGTGGCACAGAGAGGTGCGTCACTACCTCCTTTGTTGATGGAGATAAGTGCCACTTGTACCTCCACTATTGATGGGGATAAGTGCTATTTGTACCTCCACTATTGATGGGGATAAGTGCTATTTGTACCTCCACTATTGATGGGGATAAGTGCTATTTGTACCTCCACTATTGATGGGGATAAGTGCTATTTGTACCTCCTCTATTGATGGGGATAAGTGCTATTTGTACCTCCTCTATTGATGGGGATAAGTGCTATTTGTACCTCCTCTATTGATGGGGTTAGATTCTGTTTGTACTTCCTTATGTTGAACGTTCGCAGCCCGTCTCCCCTCCCTCACCATTTCTACTGCCCACCCCCTCACCCTCATTGCTTTGCTGCCCGTCCCCTCGCCCTTCCCCTTGTTGCTGCCCATCCCCCCACCCTCATTGCTTTGCTGCCCGTCCCTTCGCCCTTCCCCTTGTTGCTGCCCATCTACCCACCCTCATTGCTTTGCTGCCCGTCCCCTCGCCCTTCCCCTTGTTGCTGCCCATCCCCCCACCCTCGTTGCTTTGCTGCCCGTCCCCTCGCCCTTCCCCTTGTTGCTGCCCATCTACCCACCCTCATTGCTTTGCTGCCCGTCCCCTCGCCCTTCCCCTTGTTGCTGCCCATCCCCCCACCCTCATTGCTTTGCTGCCCGTCCCCTCGCCCTTCCCCTTGTTGCTGCCCATCCCCCTACCCTCATTGCTTTGCTGCCCGTCCCCTCGCCCGTTCCCTTGTTGCTACCCATCTTCCACTTTCCTTGCTGCTGCCCGACCCCTCGCCCTTCCCCTTGTTTGCCCATCTACTCCCCTTTTCCCTTGCTGCTGCCGGTCCCCCTTCCTTCCGCCTTGCTGCTGCCCGCCCCCCCTCCCCCCCCCTTGCTGATAATCGCCCCCACCCCCTCCCCCTTGTTGCTGCTCATATCTCTGGCCTACATTATCTATATTTTGCTCCTCTCCTCTCCTCTCCTCACCTCAACGTCCTCTCATCTGCTCCTCTCATTCGCTCCCCTTCTCTCTTCTCCTCTCATCTCTCCCTTCATCTCCCCTCTCATGTGCTTCAGGCGCGGAGACGCATCGAGGGATGGGATTTGTGCAATAGTGAGTGCACCTCGCTTCTGTTTCTTGTGCCATGCGTGGCTGAATGCTGGTTCTCATGCTTATGCGTCTTGAAAGCTTCTGCTTCTGCATCACGTGGTTCAAAGCCAGTTCTTCAACGTTTATAGTGAATTCTGCCTCTAATAGCGTCTACTGCTCTTTATTCCCTCCTCTTCATCCCAACTCTTCTCTCTTCTACCCCCCACCACACCCGCTTCCCCCCTTTCCTCTCCTCGCAAACCCTCCTCCTCCACCCACAGCGCGCTAGCAGAGGACGCAGAGAGGGCAGTGAGGGAGCTCGGGGAAAGCGGCTGAGAGCGCATATCTTACTTATTAGACAGCTCCTTGCTTCCGCTTGCTCCCCCTGCTATCCTAACCGGTACCCCCCTCTTCCTCCCGCCCCCCCCCCCCCCACCATTACCAGTGCGCTAGCAGAGGACGCGGAGAGGGCAGTGAGGGAGCTCGGGGGAAAGCGGCTGGAGAGCAAGGCAGACCCACTGACCCGTCACATATCTTACCTGTTAGACAGCTCCTTGCTTCCTCTCCTCTCACACCCCCTTCTAACCAGTAACCCACCCCCCTCTTCCCACCCCCCTCTTCCCACCCCCCTCTTCCCACCCCCCCCTCTTCCCACCCCCCCCCTCTTCCCACCCCCCCTCTTCCCACCCCCCCTCTTCCACCCCCCCTCTTCCCACCCCCCTCTTCCCACCCCCCTCTTCCCACCCCCCCTCTTCCCACCCCCCCTCTTCCCCCCCCCTCTTCCCCCCCCCCTCTTCCCACCCCCCTCTTCCCACCCCCCTCTTCCCACCCCCCCTCTTCCCACCCCCCTCTTCCCACCCCCCCTCTTCCCACCCCCCCTCTTCCCACCCCCCCTCTTCCCACCCCCCCTCTTCCCACCCCCCCTCTTCCCACCCCCCCTCTTCCCACCCCCCCTCTTCCCACCCCCCCTCTTCCCCCCCCCCTCTTCCCACCCCCCCTCTTCCCACCCCCCCTCTTCCCACCCCCCCTCTTCCCCCCCCCCTCTTCCCCCCCCCCTCTTCCACCCCCCCCTCTTCCCACCCCCCCTCTTCCCACCCCCCTCTTCCACCCCCCCTCTTCCCACCCCCCCTCTTCCCACCCCCCGTCTTCCCACCCCCCTCTTCCCACCCCCCCTCTTCCCACCCCCCCTCTTCCCACCCCCCCTCTTCCCACCCCCCCTCTTCCCACCCCCCCTCTTCCCACCCCCCCTCTTCCCACCCCCCCTCTTCCCACCCCCCCTCTTCCACCCCCCCTCTTCCCACCCCCCCTCTTCCCACCCCCCTCTTCCCACCCCCCCTCTTCCCACCCCCCCTCTTCCCACCCCCCCTCTTCCCACCCCCCTCTTCCCACCCCCCTCTTCCCACCCCCCCTCTTCCCACCCCCCTCTTCCACCCCCCCTCTTCCACCCCCCTCTTCCCACCCCCCCTCTTCCCACCCCCCCTCTTCCCACCCCCCCTCTTCCACCCCCCTCTTCCCTCCACCCCCCCCTCTTCCCACCCCCCCTCTTCCACCCCCCTCTTCCCCCCCCCTCTTCCACCCCCCTCTTCCCACCCCACCCTCTTCCCACCCCCCTCTTCCCCCCCCCTCTTCCCACCCCCCTCTTCCCACCCCCCCTCTTCCCACCCCCCCTCTTCCCACCCCCCTCTTCCCACCCCCCCTCTTCCCACCCCCCCTCTTCCCACCCCCCCTCTTCCCACCCCCCCTCTTCCCACCCCCCTCTTCCCACCCCCCCTCTTCCACCCCCCCTCTTCCCACCCCCCTCTTCCACCCCCCCTCTCCCACCCCCCCTCTTCCCACCCCCCCTCTTCCACCCCCCCTCTTCCCACCCCCCTCTTCCCACCCCCCCTCTTCCCACCCCCCCTCTTTCCCACCCCCCCTCTTCCCACCCCCCCTCTTCCCACCCCCCTCTTCCCACCCCCCCTCTTCCACCCCCCCTCTTCCCACCCCCCCTCTTCCCACCCCCCTCTTCCCACCCCCCCTCTTCCCACCCCCCCTCTTCCCACCCCCCCTCTTCCCACCCCCCCTCTTCCCACCCCCCCTCTTCCCACCCCCCCTCTTCCCACCCCCCCTCTTCCCCCCCCCCTCTTCCCACCCCCCCTCTTCCCACCCCCCCTCTTCCCCCCCCCCTCTTCCCCCCCCCCTCTTCCCACCCCCCCTCTTCCCACCCCCCCTCTTCCCACCCCCCCTCTTCCCACCCCCCCTCTTCCCACCCCCCCTCTTCCCACCCCCCCTCTTCCCACCCCCCTCTTCCCACCCCCCCTCTTCCCACCCCCCCTCTTCCCACCCCCCCTCTTCCCACCCCCCCTCTTCCCACCCCCCCTCTTCCCACCCCCCCTCTTCCCACCCCCCCTCTTCCCACCCCCCCTCTTCCCACCCCCCCTCTTCCCACCCCCCCTCTTCCCACCCCCCCTCTTCCACCCCCCCTCTTCCCACCCCCCCTCTTCCCACCCCCCCTCTTCCCACCCCCCCTCTTCCCACCCCCCTCTTCCCACCCCCCCTCTTCCCACCCCCCCTCTTCCCACCCCCCCTCTTCCCACCCCCCCTCTTCCCACCCCCCCTCTTCCCACCCCCCCTCTTCCCACCCCCCCTCTTCCCACCCCCCCTCTTCCCCCCCCCCCTCTTCCCACCCCCCCTCTTCCCACCCCCCCTCTTCCCACCCCCCCTCTTCCCACCCCCCCTCTTCCCACCCCCCCTCTTACCCGCCACCAGTGCGCTAGCAGAGGACGCGGAGAGGGCAGTGAGAGAGCTGGGAGGAAAGCGGCTGGAGGGGCGAGCCCTGGCAGTAGAGCTGGCGAAGAGGAGAGCTTCTTTGGGCGAACGGCTGGCTAAGAGAGGGCCACGCCCGCAAGGTGCGTGTGAAAAGGGAGATGGGATGGGCATTTTCTATTTTGTAGCATTGGGGGCAGCACTGCCTGGCTCTGGCTCTGGGGGAGGCGGCTGGAGGGGCGAGCGACCCCTGGCGTGGAGCTGGCGAAGAAACGTGCGCCACTGGGGGAAAGGCTCGCCAAAAGAGGACCGCGGCCGCAAGGTGAGAGGGCGGCAGGTTCATGAGAGGAGCAGGAGCAGGCAGCTAAGGGGGGAAGGGCGGCTGGAGGGGCGACCCCTGGCTGTGGAGCTGGCGAAGAGGAGAGCTTCTCTGGGCGAAGAGGAGAGCTTCTCTGGGCGAAGAGGAGAGCTGCTCTGGGCGAAGAGGAGAGCTTCTCTGGGCGAAGAGGAGAGCTTCTCTGGGCGAAGAGGAGAGCTTCTCTGGGCGAAGAGGAGAGCTTCTCTGGGCGAAGAGGAGAGCTTCTCTGGGCGAACGGCTGGCCAAACGAGGCCCACGCCCACTAGGTGAGCGGGGAATGGCTATGCCCTGGTGTGGTACGCCCCGAGTCTCATCTGTAGGATTGGAGCATGGCACCCACATACACAGCTGGCGAGCAGGCCTCTGGCAGTGGAGGTGGCGAAGAGGAGAGCTTCTCTGGGCGAACGGCTGGCCAAGAGAGGGCCGCGCCCGCAAGGTGGGTGGGGAAAAGGAGGCAGGTAGGGCATCTATGATGTATCATGGGGGGCAGTACTGCCTGGCCGGCTCTGGCTGGTAGGGAAGGTGGCCGGAGGGGCGACTTTTGGCAGTGGAGCTGGCAAAGAGGAGAGCTTCTTTGGGCGACAGGCTGGCCATGAGAGGGCTGCAAGGTGAGTGAGTGGGTGGCAGGAGCATGTGAGGAGCAGGAGGAGCAGGCGACTAGCAGGGGAAGGGCGGCTGGAGGGGAGACCTTTGGCAGTGGAGTTGGCGAGATGGGCGCCTCTGGGGGACAGGCTGGCTAAGCGAGGGGTGCGACTGCAGGGTGAGTGAGAAGAGCAGGAAGACAGCAGCTGGAGAGAGGGCAAGGCAGGGCTCGAAAAGGACGGCCTGCCTTTGGCACCTTCGTTGAAGGAGCGGCTGGCAAAGGGCTGCAAGTGTAGGTTGAGGAGCAGCACAATGGTTGACTTTTGAGTCGACTCAAAAGTAGGTTGAGGAGCAGCACAATGGTTGACTTTTGAGTCGACTCAAAAGTAGGTTGAGGAGCAGCACAATGGTTGACTTTTGAGTCGACTCAAAAGTAGGTTGAGGAGCAGCACAATGGTTGCCTTTTGAGTCGACTCAAAAAGTAGGTTGAGGAGCAGCACAATGGTTGCCTTTTGAGTCGACTCAAAAGTAGGTTGAGGAGCAGCACAATGGTTGCCTTTTGAGTCGACTCAAAAGTAGGTTGAGGAGCAGCACAATGGTTGCCTTTTGAGTCGACTCAAAAGTAGGTTGAGGAGCAGCACAATGGTTGCCTTTTGAGTCGACTCAAAAGTAGGTTGAGGAGCAGCACAATGGTTGCCTTTTGAGTCGACTCAAAAGTAGGTTGAGGAGCAGCACAATGGTTGCCCGCTGTTTTCTTTGGAGTATTCTCGAGAATCGCTCACAAGGAGTGGTGCAATGCGATGGTTGCTAGTTCTCTCCCTTGCATCCAAATCCCCTTTGAGACGTCTGAAAAGAGTTCTGAGTTTTGTGTTTTGGTGCTTCTCAAATTATGATCGCTAGCTCTCTTTCTTGAATCCATCTCCCTCCCTTCTCCTGCTCCGGTTCCCCCCTTGGTCTCTGCAGCCCACCAGGTGGAGGACCAGGATGATTTGACTGGCCTGCACGAGCTGGCTGGGAAGGAGCAACGCGATGGTTCGTCCAACCATGTCTCCCTTGCTCCATGCCTTGCTCCCTTCCCTTTTGCTCCTATCTCTCCGTTGGCCTTTCTTGCAGCCCACCAGGTGGAGCACCAGGATGATCTGACGGGCCTGCACGGGCTGGGAAGGAGCAGCGGTGCTGCTGCTGATCTTGCTGCTGCTTCAGTTCCTTCCTCCCACCCACCCACCCACCTCTCCCTTGGCCTTTCTTGCAGCCCACCAGGTGGAGCACCAGGATGATCTGACGGGCCTGCATGGGCTGGGAAGGATCAGTGGTGGTGCTGCTGATCTTGCTGCTGCTTCAGTTCCTTGCACCCACCCACCCACCTCTTCCCCCTGGTTTCTTCAGCCCATCAAGTGGATGACCAGGATGATCTGACGGGCCTGCATGGCCTGGGTAGGAGCAACGCGCCAGATGGTGCAGGGAGGGCTATTGGTGCTACAGATGCCATGGGGAGGAGAATACCCACTCGCATCACCTTTCCCACTGCTGACGTCGATGCACCTCCTGCTCCTCCTCCTCCTGCTGCTGCTCCTGCTGCTCCTGCCACGAATGCTGTCCCTGCCGCCCCTACTGCTGCTGCTGTGAGTGCACCTGCTGGTGCCAGTGACAAAGCATCAGCTGTAGCAACACCAGGCAAGGGGGTTGAGGGTAGCAGCAGGAAGGAGAAGAAGGAGAAGAAGGGCAAGAACGCTCTGCCTGCCGCTGCTGCTGCCTCCCCTTCTGTGGCTGCTGCAACTGCTCAGACTGCTGCTGCTGCAACGGCAGGAGGAGGCAGCAAGGAGGGAGGCGGATCTTCGCTAAAGCAGAGGTAAAGCAGCTTGCAGCCGTTCTGGTATTCACATTTCTAGAGAACTCTTGCACGTTTTGTCTGTTCCTTGCAAGTTACACATGCACACTGCAGTTTCTTGCTGCTGCTGCTGCTGCCTGCTGTTATGTCAGTCTTCTCAACATGAACCAGCCACTACCGCCCTCTCTCCCATTCCCAGGCCAGCCTGCACTGTCGTTTCTCCCCCTGGCAGCAGTGGCTCATGTCCTCTCTGCTGCTGCAGCCGTCGCTACTCCCCCTTTCCTTGGATAGTCCAACCTTTTCCCCCCTTTTCACGCCTCTCGTCTTTCCCCCCTTTCCCAGGCCAGCCCGCACGGTGGTGTTTGGGGGCCTGTGATCCCCAGCAGCAGCAGTGCTGCAGGTCCTGTCCACAGCTGCTACCATGTGTTTGAAAACACTGTGCCATGTGCTACCAAGTGTTTTGAGACGTCTCAAAACACTTCTTCAAGCAGTGCTGCAGGTCCTGTCCACAGCTGCTACCATCGCTGCTCCACAGGAGGTCATCAACCCTTTCTTCCCCGTACCACCTTGTTCGTTCCTCGCTTCTATCTCCCAGGCCAGCCTGCACGGTGGTGTTCGGGCTCTCATCCCCAGCAGCGGTGGCCCATGTCCTCTCTGCCACCAGTGCTGTCGCTACCTTTGAGGAGGTTACGAACACCTCTCTTCTCCTCTCCACCTTGTCCCTCACTCCCTTCCCTTTCCCAGGCCAGCCCGCACGGTGGTGTTCGGAGGGCTCTCATCCGCGGAAGCTGTAACCCATGTCCTCTCTGCGGCTGCCGCCATTGCTACCCCTGAGGAGGTCACCAACCCTCTTCCAGAGGATGCCGTGAAGGAGAGAGGTGAGATTAGGGATGAGCAAGGTGGCGAACACCTGTTCGGTTCGCCTCGAACGTGTTCGAGGCGAACCGAACAGGTTTTGTTTTTTAGCTCAAATCGTTCGCCGAACAGTGTTCGATGTTCGCCCGAACACGTTCGTGTTCGGGCCGCTGCTGAAATTTGCCCGCGACGAACACGAATAGTGTTCGAGGTTCGCCCGAACACGCCTCCACAGGCGAACAGCGAACACCTGTTTTTTCCTAAACTGTTCGCCGAACCGAACAGTGTTCGGTTCGGCAAAAGAGGGTGTTCGACAAGGGGCGAAGACGAACATGTTGTGTTCGCCCTTTGCTCATCCCTAGGTGAGATTCGCTTGATCTATGATCGCAATCACCCTGCTTGCTGCCATCGCTGCTCCAGACCAGAGGACGGCACAAACCTGCTGCCAGAAGATACTCTCACGGAGGGAGGTGAGGCTAAATCTGATCTCACAATATTAAATTTGTACTCGACCCGTTATACTGCCTGCTTGCTTCCATTGCTGCTCCAGAGGACGTCACAAACCCGCTGCCAGAAGATGCTCTCATGGAGGGAGGTGAGACACCAATGTCCCCCATGTCGTCTTTTAATCTGACCCCAATCACTGACGGTGTAGACACCCCAGAGGTGGTCTCCAACCCATTGCCAGAAGAGGTTCTCAAGGAGAGGTGAGGGTTCTCAAGGAGAGGTGAGGGTTCTCAAGGAGAGGTGATGGTTCTCAAGGAGAGGTGAGGGTTCTCAAGGAGAGGTGAGGGTTCTCAAGGAGAGGTGAGGGTTCTCAAGGAGAGGTGAGGGTTCTCAAGGATTCTGCCCTCCTTGTCCCCCTTTCTCCCATGCAGGTCTGGCCCTTGATGGCTGCACTCTCCCCGCCCTCTCTGTCATCTTCCCGTCGGTGCGCGCCGCCCGCCAGGCTGTGGCATCGCTGCACGGCTCTACGGTTGTGGGCGGCATAGTGGAGGGCGGCGCCGAGGCTGGTGGCTCGGAGCAGAGCGCTACTGTGTGGGCGAGGCAGCTGGGCGGCGAGGTGGGTGATTGGCTCGCAGGCTGAGAGAGGGAGCTGAGCTGTTGTGTGTGGGACTGGGACTGGCAGGTGATATGGTGGAGGTGGACAGAAGAGCCCTGATCCGTGGTCATGGGGCCACGGATCACGGCGCTCTTGTGTGGGCGAGCTGTCAGTCACGGACAGGTGGGCTGCAGAGGCCTTAATTTCATCAACTCATACGGTGCTTAGGATGACGAGACTCATTAGGAGCAGGGCGCTCTTGTGTGGGCGAGGCAGCTGGGAGGCGAGGTGGGTGAATGGGGAACAAGGTAAGAGGTGGGTTGCGTGGCTGTGAGACGGGCAAGCCATGGCCTTGCTGCACCCATGAGTGTACAGCAGGTAAGGGCGCCACGGCACGGCATGTGCGCACGGAGCAGAGTGTCTCTGTGTGGCGAGGCAGTTGGAGGCGAGGTGGGTGGTTGACGGGCGAGGGTAGGGTGCATGGCTGTGAGACTGGTAGGCCATGGTGTTGGCTCACCCACGGGTGTATGTTGCAGAACGGATGCGTGCAGAGTATTTACTGTGTGGGCTGTGTGTGGGTCCCAAGAGTGGCAGGCGGTGCTGTGCTGTGGCAACCCAAAGACGTGGTTTGCATGATGCTGCGTGTCAGTGGTGGTGCATAGAAAGGTGGTGCGTTACCTTGTGTCTGCAGCGTTTCCTCTCGAATGGTCCTTCAATAAATATGCTTGATAAGTACAGCACACTAGTGATGCGTTACCTTGTGTCTGCAGCGCCTCCCCTCTGCCTCTCTTGTCAACCTCTTTTCTTTCTCGCCCAACCATGTCATTCTCATGTGTATGCATGCATGTGTGGTCATCTGTATGTGTATGGATGCATATTTGCAGGGTTCAAAGACCCTCAGCAATCGAGTCATCATTCGCAACCTGCCCTTCAAGGTGCGACCATTTCGTGCACAGCATGTTTCTGTTGCTCTTTAATCTTTTCCTTTGAGGTGCCTCAAATGTCGTGCCCAGCACAGCGGCTTGATAACTTTCGTTATCGTAAAGTACTTGTTGAAAGGTGTTGCCGTACTCGTTCGTCGTTGTCGTATTCAGCCACCTTTACTTAATATAGTCTGCCGTGCTAGTACACAATTTAAAAGTTGAGAAACTAGCTACGCACGTCTCAAAACCCAACTGCTTGCTTCCTTGTTTGTTCACTCACTCACCTGTGATACGGATGTGCACATGTTCTATTGCGAATGGGTGTCTGTTGTGTGCTGGGCAAATGTCGCGATGACAGGTGGCAGAAGCGGATTTGAGGAAGGCCTTTGCTGTTGCGGGCTTCCCATGGGCAATCAAGATACCACACGGGGAGGACGGCAGGTGAGAGGTGGTGCACGTGAGATGTGGAGCAGGCGAATGGATAACAAGCATGTGGGAGGAATACGGCAAGGTGAGAGGACGGCATGGGAGGCAAATGAGAGGTGAGCGGGTGGGCAGTGAGCGCTGGTGC